TTTTTTTTTATGAATGGAGGGCGGTGGCGATTGCAGCAGCTGGCCCAGCTGCGCGGGCTGTACTCCCTCCCAGCCTGCAAGAGGAGGTAAAGGCCACCTTCATGCTACTGCGGGCCTGGGCAGGAACCGTCAGTGGTGCTGGCGGGCGGGGGGCATTGCGGCCTCCAAATCCTGGACTATGAGCGGGATGGGGGAGGACACGTCTAGATTTGGGCAGTCCCCGCAGGCAGTCAAAGGAAGGCGGCGGGAAGATCCTTGCTGGACGCTTTGTGGATTTCTAGACCTGTGATAACCTGGGGGCGTCGGGGGAGGGGATCTTGAAACTGCGTTTACCAAAAATTAAGAATGTCCTTCGTCTGTTATCAGAGAAAGGCGGAGTGGGGTTTGCTGAGTGAATCTGCTTTCCTGAGTCTTGAGTCTCTCCTTAGTGCAGATCACCCCTCCCCCCCGTTTCTTGGGTTTAGTGACAGGACCGAGGCCTTTTCCGGCTTCAGTACTCCCCGAGGCGATTCTGGCTATTCAGCCAGGGGAGGCCTGGCCCTTGCCTCCCAGCGTTCCCCCTTCCCCCACCCCAGTGTAATGTCCGCAGTGCCCCAGCGTTCGCCCGCTGCCTGCCGCCCTGGCTAGGTACCCCACTTTTTACCCAAATCTGTACCCAGTCCTCACAAGACGCAGGCCTGAGGAGACTCTATCTATTGAAGGCCTGCAGCCCTTAGCTGTTGTAGGGGCCTGTCCATAACTCCCCACCCCGCTCCAGCTCCCCTCTAGGGAAGCGGGAGCCGCCGAGAACTGGCCAGGTGGATGGGTGGAGCTGGCCGCGCCGAGGAAGCTGCCGGGGTGGGCGCAGGATTAAATAACAACAGGCTCTTGAGCCGCAGAGGAAATGGAAATGGCTAGGGTTCCTTTCTTTACTGTTAATGATTGGGGGAGAGGTGGGCGGAGGATCAGCCCGAGCTTCTGAAAAAAAGAAAAGCTGGTGCCGTTAGGCCTGACTCCGGGAAGGCGGGGACACCCTGCGGCAAGTCCAGCTCCACCCTGGGTCAGAGGAGGCTGTAGCCTCCTGGGAGTCCGAGGTAGGGGCTGGCTTGGATGCGGGGATTAGAGCAGGGCCTGAACTGCCTTTAGAGTGTGACTTGCCACTGTTCTGACCTCTCGGGGGAGATTGTAAGGCAGGCTTTTTCTTCCTACGCCACCATAGGACCGCACTTGGCTGTTGTCTAAGGAACCAATGAAAGACTCCCAGCCCAGGGCTGAGGTCTGGCCTTGACCTGGGACTGAGGTTCTTGAGACGGGCAGTTCATACCAGAACCCAAGGTCGCCGGGTCCTAGACTAAAATACCTTCTGTCTATTCAGACTCACTGCTCTGAGATTACTAGACCCAGGTCCTGGGAACAGAGCAGATCCTCCCCTAGGGGACCTCAGCCTTCCTTTCATGGCCAAGACCTTCCTCTAAAGCCAAGAGAAAAACTCTTTACCAGGACAATGGGGGGGATTTTACAGCTGTTCAGTACTTCCCTTTAAGGATATTGAAGTTCAATATCACTATCTCCATTTGTCAGATGTAGAAATTGAGGCCAAGGGTCTTGCACCTGGTAAATGGAAGAGTAAATCAAAGTACTGATTTTCTGAGTTCCTGCCACTCGGGGGTTCTTTCTGTTTTGCTAACAAGCCTTCTCAGCTACACAGACCTGAAAATCTATTTCTTGCATGTCATTTAAGAATGTTAATTAAACAACAAAAGTTGAAGCAGTAATTTTTCAGCTAATGCTCACCTGTGGTCCTTGCTTGAAGGATGGGAATAAACACTTTTTAATAAAAGAGGAAGATACGGGGTGGGGGGAGGAGTTGCCGTCCTGTTTATTAGAAAAATTGGCCAAGAGACCAATTTTGCTTGTGATGGTTGTGAAGGTGAGAGGAAACTTTCCCTTTTGACTGGGAAGGTTCAATGAAAGATCAATTCACAATAAGGCAGATTAATAAGAGAAAGAGATTTATTTACAGTTTGCAGGGGGGAAATGGCAGAGCGATTACCCAATAACTCAGTGGGGTCTAGAAATTTATAAACCCTTATTTTAGAGGGGAGGAGGAAATGAAAAATATAGGTAATTCTGTTTAGAGGCAATAAATGGCTACTAGGGAGGATGAATAGATACTTGGGAGAATGAATGAGAGGAAACAGATTGACTTGTAAATGATTCTCTTTGGAAATTACATTAACCTGAGACAGGTATTGTATTTAAAATGATTTGGACCAGGTCTGGGTACATTCTTGATCTTTCTGCCAAGATACTGAGATAACCAGGAGGGGAAGGGAAAGTCTGGGTTTTTTGAAGAGGGAAAACTCCTTCCAGTGTCTGTTGATCTCCTAGAGCCTCTAATTCAAAATATTCTTTCGACCAGGGGTTCTGTTTGGGGGTGATATTTTCTGAACTGCTTCATCGTCTATTCCTCAGCTTTCCTGAAGGAGGAAGCAAGGAGTCTCCCCAGCCCCTGTGAGCTGTAGAGGCTTCTAAAGCCTATGTACAAGGTGACAGTGTGATTCTGAGTGTCTGGTAAGGCTCTGGAGGCCATATTTTGACTCTGCTTGGAATCTGCACTGAAGTGTGGTTTGTGGTGGTGATTATGAGAAATTCACTCATTCATCCATTCTTCGTGTTTGTGCTGGGGCCTGCCCGGACTCTGAGGACTCAGTGGTGAGGGACAGATGGCCCTCCCCTTCCTTAGGAACCTCGCCTCTTTAGAGGAGACAGACTATGCAATGTGAGGCTGTGGTAAACACTGGGAGGGAAGGCAAGCGTGTTCTGAGGGTGCGAATGGGGAGAAGGGCCTCAATGGGGTTTGGGCATCAGGGAATATCTGAGAGGGGGCTTATAGTTGTGAATTGAAACTAAAGACTAAGTGAGCCTGAGGGAGGCCTGGAGAGACATCTCAGGCAGAGGGAGCATGGGTGGAGGCGCTGGCTGGGAACAGGCTGACATGTTGGGAGAGCTGGCAGAAGGTCTCTGTGGCCACAGCTTTATGAGCAAAGTTGAAGAGAGGAGTTCAGATGTCATCCTATTAAGGGTTTTAAGCAGGGAGTGACACTTAGATTTGTATTTTATTTATTTATTTAGAGACAGAGTTCACTATGTCTCCCTCAGTAGAGTGCCTTGGCATCACAGCTCACAGCAACCTCAAACTCTTGGGTTTAAGCCTCCCAAGTTGCTGGGACTGCAGGTGCCCATAATGCCTGGCTATTTTCTTGTTGTAGTTGTCATTGTTGTTCGGCAGGCCCAGGCCAGGTTCAAACCCACCAGCGCTGGTGTATGTGGTCAGTGCACTAGCTGCTGAGCTACAGGCTCTGAGCCTCGATTTGAATTTTAAACCTCTCCAGCATCCCTGGAGCCAATGATTGGGGGGGTAGGAGGACAGCAGGAAAGATGGTGGGGGACTGCCAAACATTTGCTCCTTAGGAGGTTGAAGACAACACACTAATTCTTTTCGATGGGGCAGCTGGTAAGCCTGTGTTGGCTTTGTTTTCCTAGTTCCTCTGACTGTTTATTCCAAAGTTACTGTCTTCCCCAGGTATAAGTTTTCTGCTAGAGGCAAATCCTACCAACCTTGCATTCTTGCCCGCGCTAATGACAGTCTTTTCACCCCAACCCCAATATAAACAGCTTTACCCTACCAGATCTTAGCCAAATGAGGTCATTTCTGGACTTTGCTCTCTAATTAAACTCCTGGCCTTGCAAGGACCTGGGAGAGGAGTTAGTGGAAGTAAGGAAAGGCAGGAATTCCAATTCAATGACAGACATTTATGGAGCACTTACTATGTGCAGTATGTTTTCATGCTTTAAAACATTTCAAAATAGCCGGGCGCCTGTGGTCCCAGCTACTTGGGAAGCAGAGGCAGGAGACTCACTAGAGCCCAGGAGTTGGAGGTTGCTGTGAGCTGTAATGCCACAGCACTCTACCCAGGGGGACAGCTTGAGGCTCTGTCTCAAAAAAAAAAAAGGC